TAAGTCATAAAAATTAAAAATCTATATAATTTAACAAAAAGTCTATTTTTCACGTCGTTCATATATTGGTCATGATTTCATCACAAAATTTTTCTGTTGTTCGATTATTGTGTGTGGATGTGAGTGTAAGTATAGGTGTGGAGTGTGGGTAGATATGAATAAAGAATAGCTCCACACCCACACATACACCCAAAATGTCATAAAATATTGTGCATGAAATTTTTAAAGTTTTATTCTTCAACATGAGTCAATTTAGCAAATGGTTGGGTCTGAATCATTCGTTAGATGTCAAGATGAATAAATCATTGAATGTAATTAAGCCAGATTCAATAGAAATAACATCATGATTACCCTGATGTATTGATAATACTATAAAATAGCATTCGATCAGTCAGCATGTACTTGTTAAAACAAAATAATATTTATTCAACTGATGAAACAACTAGCAACTGGTTATGTTTAAACTTTTAAATCCATTTCTTATAACTGTTTGTTAGATGAAACATGTTTTAATTATCTACGTAAAATAGAAAACAAATCAAGGGGGGAAAAGCGGATTCTGTGTATCGGCGATACGGTGGCGATACGTACGATACATACGTTACGTACAATACGTACGATACGATGACGATACATACGATACGGACGATACGATTACAATCCAGATAATATATGTAGAACTAAGAAGTAGGGTGCACCACTCCGACTGGGTTCTCCTAGCTATCCTAGGAGGGGTACTCGGGTTCTCATCTGCCTATCCTAGGGGAGGTCGCGGGTCCTCAATTCCTAAATTGTGGAGGTACCCATAGGTCCTTATATCCTATATTCTAAGGGTACCCTTGGGTCCTTATATTCTATGTTCTGCGGGTACGTTCAGGTTCTCAAGTCCTCTATTCTGGGGTACTCTCGGGTCCTTGTACTCTATATTCTGGGGATACCTTCAGGTCCTCAAGTCCTATATTGGGAGAGTACCCTTGGGTCCTTATACCCTATATTCTGGGGGTACCTTCAGGTCCTCAAGTCCTATATTGAGAGAGTACCCTTAGGTCCTCAAGTCCTATATTCAAAGGGTACCCATAGATCCTCAAGTCCTATATTATAGGGATATCCTTGGGTCCTCAAGTCCTATATTAGGAGGGTACCTATAGGTCCTCAAGTCCTATATTGGGAGGGTATCCTTAGGTCCTCAAGTCCTATATTCAGAAGGTACCCATAGATCCTCAAGTCCGATATTATGAAGGTACGCTTAGGTCCTGAAGTCCTATATTATAGGGGTACTTTTGGGTCCTTATATTCTATGTTCTGGGGTACCCTTGGGTCCTCATATCCTAAATTCTGGGGATACTTTTAGATCCTCAACTCCTATATTAGGAGAGTACCTATAGGTCTTCAAGTCCTATATTCAGAGAGTATCATTAGATCCTCATCTCCTATTGTATAGAGGTATGGATGTAGCAATACCAATACCAGTCAATAGCAATTGGTATGGGTATTGGCTGGTATCAGTATTGGTGTCCTCAAGTCTCTATATCTGGGATACATCTTGGGGTCCTCATGGGCCACTATTTAGAGTTACCCTTAGGTCCTCATGAGCTACTATTTAGAGACACCCTTGGTCCATCACGTGGCATTATTTTGAAGTGCCCTTGGGTCCCGATGTTCTGTTAGTCTGTCGCCACTCGTCGGTCCACAATAAAAACTCACTATGATTTTATCAAGTGGAAAAGTGCTGCACCTAGCACCTTAGCGCCTGCGCAGCACCTCGGCACTTGCTTAGCACTTCAGCACCTCAGCACCCAGCCAGCATCTTTAGCATATTTTACTATGAGCATCTTCAAGCACTTCCCCACTATCCTAAATGCTTTTCCGGTACCTTACGGTAAAATTTACTGCCCAGGTTCTGCCCTTCAAATTGGTATGATGGAATTAGACAGAAAGGAAAAATATAGAAAGGAGAAATATAGAAGAAAAGGAAGAAAAATATCGAAAGAGAAAATATCGAATAGGAAAACATAGAAAGGAAAAATGTCGAAAAGAAAAGAAACAATAGCCATGAGAGGTCGCTTAATTGAAATAGTTAAACAATGCATCTGTGGTTCGTTCGATTTCGTCTGATATGTTCATTCTTAGAACGATGACCATGAATATAGGCGAATGCAATGAATACTTATTACTTATCGCTCGTCGATATCTTTTTATGTATGCTTATTTTAGATAACAATAATGAATTCTTCAAATAAAATCTCCTTCGTTTATTCTCAAAAAAATAAAAAAATGTTGGTTATAGAGAATTTCATATTTAAATTAAATAAAGCAACAAGTTCGACTAAGTATTATCGATGTAATGATCCATGTTGCAGTGTTGTTGTTCATACTGATCTTGAAGATAATTTGCTGAAAATCAATGATGATCATTGTCATCCACCAGAACCTGAAGAAGTTCAGATTCGAACATTTAGACAAGCAGTGAAAACACGTGCTATAAATGAAACTACACCTATACCCCAAATTTATGATGAAGAAGCACTGCGAATAGATCTTTCACAATTATCAATTGCTGCTTTACCATCTCAGAGAGAAATGAGTCAGTAAAAATTTTATTATTTACTAGCTAACAATTTACTCTTTAGGTAGCACCTTAAACAAAGCACGTCGTTTCCAAACACCACCAATTCCTGATACTCAATTATTTGATTTACCTGAATGTTATACAAAAACAATTAAAGGTTTATCATTTTTATGTATTGATCAATTAGTAAAACGTAAAACGCGAATGTTGGTATTCGCTTCCAATGAACAACTAAAAATGTTGTTTAATAGTTCAGTTGTGTTAATGGATGGTACGTTTTCTTCTTCACCATCAATATTTAGTCAAGTTTACTGCATACACTCAATAAAATATGAACAATGTAAATATAAAACATTTTTTCAATTAAATCTTTTTATATTGTTATATTTTTTAGCATTTGTCTGTGTTTTCGCTCTTTTACCTGATCAGAAAAAAACTACGTACAAATTTTTATTAAATGGATTACGTGATAAAGCTGCTGAAATGAATATGGTGTTTAATCCAACTACTATCATGTCAGATTTTGAAGGATCTCTTCTAGAAGTTTTAAAAAGTGAAGTATGTGTTATTCTTATCCAATCTAAAGAAATCATGTTATTGTCTTTCTTAGTTTCCTAACAGTCAGCATCGTGGGTGTTATTTTCACCATAACCAAGCGATTTATCGGAATATTCAAAAATTAGGTTTATCAAGTGCATATGTTGATGATGATCAAATTCGAATAATTTGTCGAAAACTTATGGCTTTGGCTTTATTGCCCCTTTCATTAGTTATTGAAGCATTTGATAATCTCTATGATTCGGTTCTTGAATCATCATCAACAACATTTAAGTTACTTGAACCTTTATTTAAATATTTCGAGAATCAATGGATCAAAACAGTTGAAATAAAAATATGGAATGCGTATGGGATACAAATGCGCACTAATAACAATTGTGAAGGTTTTTAATATCAGATAGCATTTAAGTATTTTTATTGTCCATATACTTGTAGGGTATCACAATCGGTTAAATTCAAGAGTATGTAAATATCATCCAAACATATGGACATTCATCAGATGTATACAAGGTGAAGAAAACAGATTCAATCATTTGCTTATTCAAATGAAAGGTGGTCTTGCAGCTCGTCCACAAACGAAAACAACTCAAGCTATTCAAAAACGTATTGATAATTTATATGCTCGTTATGAGAACAAGGAAGTGTCACCCGATGAATTATTGGAAGGCTTATCATTTGTAGTTGCTAAAAATAGCAAATCAAAAAAAAAATAAACAATTATTAATCTCTATGTGATGACATTTTAACTATATGTTAGATATTATTTATTGTTCTTTTCTTTCTCTGAATAAAATTTGTCACAAGTTGATGAATATTATGTCTCATTTAGATATTTTTTTTCGATGTTTTTCCTCATTCAATACGTCCGCTTCGACATTTTTCCATTCGATATTTTTTCTTTTCTATCATCCACTTTCTATATTTTTCTTCTATATTTCTCCTTTCTATATTTTTCCTTTCTGCCTATTTCCATCCATTC